GCTGGCTGGGGAATTCTGGGAGTTGAAGTCCACCAGGCTTAAAGTCACCAAGGTTGGAGACCCCTGACTAGACTGCCCCCTTCACACATACACACATACACGCGCGCGCACCGCTCCATTCCTCCCCCGCCCCCCGTAACCCTTCGCCTGCCCAAACCCCACACAGCGTTGTTTCCAGCGGCGTCCAGCTGTTCGGGGGAGAGGAGGGGGGGGGGAGGGTCAACGGGGAAAAAAGGCTAGCAATGTCCGGAGGAGGCCAAAAGCGGCTCGGGCAGCTGTTTGAACAAGTTCCTGAGGGTGCTGAGTTCCCGGGAGAGCTGCTCGACTTTCTTTTGGAGCCGCTCGTTCTCGGCAGTCAGTTCCAAGACTTTGTGCTGCGTCTCCAGGTTGCGCATCTTGGCTTTGTCGCGGCTCTTGCGCACGGCGATGTTGTTCCTCTCGCGGCGGATCTTGTACTCCTCGCTGTGCTTGTCCACGCACTTCTTGGACTTGTTCTTGCCGCTGCTGCCGCCGCCGCCGCCTCCACTGGGGCCTGCCGGGTAAACGCCGCCGCCGCCACTTCCTCCTCCGACCGAGGCGGACTTCGAGGAATCGGACGGGTTCGGGGTGCCGGGCGGGCTGGAAGACGACGAGGTGGAAAGGTTCCCGCTGCTCCCGCTCGGCACGGACTGGTAGCCCAAATAGGAGCGGACGGTGCTGCCGTAAGGCGAGGACATTCCCCCCAGGCCGGGGCCTGCTCCTCCTCCTTCGCCGCCGCTTTCTTCCTTGCGGGCCCCTTTGCAAGAATCCAAGTGCTCGAAAACCGGCTCCACTTTGGTCTCGACCATCTGCGGCGGGAAACAACCCAGCAGCGGCCCGGCTTTGTGGTTCTGTCCGACGCCCGAGTGGTGGCTGTGTCGGCTTAGGCTGATGTAAGCGTAGTCGGGGTGCTTCTTCCCGCCGCCTTTATAGTCCTGCTCGGAGAAGAGATCGGAGAGGAAATCTTGGCCGCTGCTCCCGCCGCTGCTGCAAACAGGCTCAAAGTTGCCCCCTGCTGCCGTGGAAGGAGGCGGCGGCGGCTGCTGTTGCTGTTGCGGCGGCGGCTGCGATGCTAAAGGGTCCAGGTAAGGGCTGAAGTCGATGGCTCTCTCGTGATCCCCCACGGTGAGCTCGGTCATGGAGCGGGCCCCCGCCGCCCGGGGGTGCAGCTTGTTCAGAGCAGCCAGACAGTCCGCCTCGTAATAGAAATTAGCCACTTCCATGGATTTAAAGGCCGCGGGCTGAAGGGGGTGGCATGCCTGATCCCAGGCTACCAGGCGTTGCATGAAAGCAAAAGGAGGGGAGCGGCGGGGGCGAAGGGGAACCTCGGCCACCGGAGACACCCCCCCTCTCCAATGCCTCCAGAAGCGAGAGGGCGGGGACGTTGCAAGCGCCGACCGAGGAGACGCCGGCAATTCCTCTTTGCCTTCCCTTGCCTTTTGCTCCTGAAACTCCCGTCCGAAATCGGGGGGCGGGGAAGGGAAGGGGCTTGAGAGGGCCCCCTTCTTCAAATCAAAAAAATGGAAATTGAAAATCGCGAAGGGTTGCTTAGACGCTGCAGCTGCCGGCCGAGCGCTCCTGCTGCTGGTTCCTCCGGACCATTTGGCGGTAGGTGCCGAGTCTCTTCTCCTCCTGAAAGTCTCTTGACTTGGGAAAGTTCCTTTGCGCTCAGTTATTTATAGGGGCGGAGCGGCGCAGCGCAAGCACAGAGAGAGAGAGAGAGAGGTCATTCACCGCCTGCTTGCTGTGCGCTGTCCGCTGTCCGCTGTGCGCTATGCGCTCCGGCGCTCGGAGAGGGCTCGCTTGCTGGCTGGCTCCAGCCTTCAAAGTAAGGCGTTCGCGGAGCGTCTGTACTTCCCGGAGCCTTGGCCATTCATAACAAGGCGACACCACGGCGCGATTCGAGGAGGAGAGGAGGTGGGAGCAAGGGCTGGTTGGCCCGGGCTCGCCACGAGGGGAGGGGCGTCTTTGCAGCCGGGGCAAAGTTGGGCGTGCGTATGATCTTTTCTCCTGAGCCCCAGTTGGGTTTTCCCAAACCCTGAATGGGGTGATCCGGGCTTGGACGGAAGGCTCTGGCATTCCAGATTCCCAAATTTCTTCGGCACCTCCGGTTTGGGAAGAGAAGGTTCTTTCCCCACCCCCCCTCCAAGCCAAATGCATGGACTGATTTGCGCTCCTATTAAAGAAGACGGGTCCCTTTCGCGGCCCGTCGTCCCAAGCGGACCCAAACGAGGCTTGGATAGGATTGCCTTATTCTAAAATACCTTTACAGAGCAAGGAAGTCCCGTGGAGCGCAGCAACCGGAGCTCATGGCTCCGGTCACAAAAGTAGATCTTGCAGCCTCGTTTGTGGGTGGAGAGAAGTTTTCAATGAGAGTGAGTGTGCCAGGCTTAAAAGAGGGTGGACAGATACCCCACTCAAAGCAGCTGAAACCCAAGATCTGTGTTTGCGTGACATGGTTGTCCATGATTAACATCGTGCATGACATTACCCAATGTTCTTGACACCTTGAACCATAAATTATGTGGGCAGAAGTTTTGCACAATATCTAAGGCTAACATTTCGTTGGGTAGTTTTAAGATACATGGGTGTCGTGCTTTTTGACTAATTACGGTGTTATGCCTCTGATTAAAACAGATTTCAAAACAAGCCAGCATAAGATTGTGCTGCTAGTGATGGTTAGTGCAGAAACGAGGTCTGGTAAAAAATAAATTTTGTCTCAAACGTGGATGTAGCAAATGAGGAAGAGCCACTGCAAAAAAGAAAGGAAAGGAAAGGAAAGGAGAGAGAGAAAGAAAGAAAGAAAGAAAGAAAGAAAAGAAAGAAAGAAAGAAAGAAAGAAAGAAAGAAAGAAAGAAAGAAAGAAAGAAAGAAAGAAAGAAAGGAAAGAAAAAGAAAGAAAGAAAGAAAGAAAGAAAGAAAGAAAGAAAGAAAGAAAGAAAGAAAGAAGAAAAAAAAAAGAAAAAAGAAAGAAAGAAAAGAGGAAGGAAGGATTTTCTGAAACTTCGGATAAACTTGTTTTGCACTCTAGAATCCTGAATTAACATGCTCTTCACCCAATCACTCCCACTCCTGGGCACAGCGTTTTGCCTTCTGCCGTGGAAAAGAGGCAGGATTGGGTAAAGATGCCTAGATGTTGTTACAGTTTATCAGTGTGTTATTCCTTCAGCAAAAGACATGATGGTAGGGAGGTCGACTTCTTCTTAGGACCCAGAAATCAGAAGATGACATGGAATTCAGCACCTTTTCAAAAGGAGGTTCCCCTTTGCTGATTGCTATCTACATATTTCTGGCATTTTTCTGGCATGGAAAGTATTTGGTTCTGTTCAGAAGGAATTGCATGATAGCCCCTTTCCAGGCTAACAATTGTTATTAAAAAGCAGAAACTTCCATGAACTGCAGTTCACTTCGGCAGATGCACAGCTGCTGTGCCTGAAGTGTGTGCCTTTTGCTAGCATTTGCTAGTTCAAAAAGAAACTTGGGTTACCCTAGACTAACCCAGTTCTCCTCCTGCAGTGATTCCCATAGGAAATCCAAAGTGCCCCGTGGAGGTAAAGCAGACCTGAGAGTTTTCTCTCTTTCTCATGAGTATTAGGGGAGGGACTGGTCTTCTCTCCAAGATCACCCCCCATCCTTTCCCCACGTGTATCTTTTGCAGCTGTGAGTGTCGTCATTTGGTCTGGAATGAAAACAGTGCACTTTAAATGGCGTCCTTGGAGTGGCCCTGACATTCCTTGGCAAGTTTGAGCTCTCATTGTCTTCTGAAGGACCACAGCGAGCTTGGACGTCATGAGTTTCGAGACTCTGTGTTTAGGTGTTAAAAGATGCCCACCTTGGAAGCCAAATGTGTGGGTCCCCTCACCGAGGAGCCCCGTATTTACCTGCAAAGAGTCATGACTCAGTCCCAGAAGAAAGGGCAAAAAGAAAACAAAAAACAAAGCAATCGAAGCCAAACATGTAATTAAAGAAAGCAGGAGTGTCTTTTGCCTTAGCAGGGGCCTTAGCAGCACCGGGGAGCAAATGGTATTGCATCTCGGAATAATATGAACCAATCCTGTGGTGTGAGAACACCAACGTTAAGCCAGAGGAACAGGTATTGCATTATGCGATTCAGCAGACAACTCTTTATGAAGGCCCAAACCTCAGAGATTTTAAAAAGAGGAAGGGTTTTTTTTAAAAAAAAATTGGGTATATAGCCATGCATTCCTTTTACTCTCTTTTCAAATCGATCTTATTGGCTAGAATATATATAAGTAGTGATCCAAATCAGGCTTAAATTCTGATACGTTTTGGTCTTTGTAGAATTATTCATTCTCTCTTCATAGCAACGTTAATTCTATTGATTAACAAAATTATATTATTTCTCCACAATAATGCAGAAAGAACCAGTTTGGCCTAGTAGTCAAGGCACCAGGCTAGAAAGCATTAGACTCCAAGTTCAAGTCCTGCCCTAGCCATGAAAGCCACTGGGTGACCTCTGGTCGGTCACATTCTCTCAGCCCAATCTACCTCCGCAGGGTTGTTGTGTGGGGAAAGTGGAAGGAGGAAGGTGTGTTGTATATGTTCACTGCCTTATTTGCAAAAAAATACAATGAAAGCGGTCTATAAATAAATAAATACAAGATCTGCAGAAACCTCAAGAGCAGCAGTTCTGGTGATTTGTGTGTGTGTGTGTGTGTGTGTGTGTGTGTGTAAGTACAGATATTTCTTTACAGGGAATGAGTGAAATTGACAAGGCTTCTTTCAATTTTTCTAATGGAGGGCCATGCTGAAATTGATGAGACTTTTTTCCACCCTTCCAGTTTCACCAGAAAAAGGAAACTGACAAAATTACCATTGGGCAGATGCTTGGTATGATGCAAAAAGCAGAGAAGCGGGTGGTGGTGGAGGGGAAACCACATTGTATCTGTTGTTTTAGTGGTTAAGGCAGCCTTCCTAATCCAAGTGACCTCCAAATGTAAGACTACAACTCCCAGCATTCCTAGATAGTATGATCAATGACTCCATTGGCTAAGCATTCCAGGAGTTGTTGCCCTCTTTCCCCCAACCACCCCCCAAATATCCAGAGCTTGAAGAAGGCTGGGCTAAAAGATGAAACAAGCTATTTGGAATAAATACAATCCTACCAAACATTTCAAGAGGAACACATATCTTCACAAAGGCCATTCAAACAGAGAACACTTGAAAAAAATATATAATTTATTCGCTTTCCTTTTCTCTCTTTTGTACATATATACAGTTGTAGGTTAAAAGTTGTTTTAAATCAGTGTTGCTCAATTTTAGCACCGTCAACATGTGTGGTCTTCAGCTCCCAGAATTCCCCAGCTTACTTGGCTGGTGAATTCTGGAAGTTGAAGTCTACATATCTTGAAACTGTCAAGGTTGAGAAACAGTGTTCTAGAATGGTAAATTGTGAAACTATGTTAAAGAGCAGGATTTCCACTATTCTTGCTACATACCTACTATCTCTCTTTATTCGCCCCATAAAAGCTCCTTCTTCTATCATTAAACTATCGGAATTTCAAGCAGGCAGGTTGGTGGCAGCGGCTTTTATTCAGTCCTCAGCTCTTTTGCTGGAGAAATTCTTAAATACTTCTCCGACTTCAATGAGAGAATCTATTTCACTCCTCAGGAGCAAGTGGCCCGTGTTCCCCAGTACCTCTCCAGGGGAACCAGACAAAACTCTTATTTTTTTGTAGATGCTGGTGATTTTATCCTCAGGTTAAAAGGTGTTCCCTTTCTCACAAGAGTACAGATGAGTGGAGTTACAGGAACTGGGGTCTCCCACTCAGATGAAGTAGAGGGAAGCCCAACTACCCATAAAATTCCCCTTGGAGTGAAATGTATTTTTCTTACGTTATAATGACTCTTTATGACTGCATGCACTTCTTCCTTTTAGCTGGTGCAAAGAGCTGCCTTCCCAAACGTTGGCTTTGGAGATTGGGTAATGAGCAGGCTCCTTCCGGTCCTCTTGGAGTGCCAACTAATTTTCATCAGGGGCATCTAGTTTCAGAGTTCCCCTTTCTGCCAGCTTCCCTTATCTTCTGCCTTGCCTGGCATCCTCTGTGCCCTCTTTCTTTCTCTGGACTATTTGGTAGATCTCTGGAACTTATGGATCGCAACAGCAGGAAGTGCTGGCATGTGTAGCCATCAAAGCTTGAATCCCACTTGATCCAAACTTGGAGGGAGGGAGGTAATGACACCGGCCAGCAATTGCTTGCAATTCCGATCCTTTTCTGCTGCCTCTTGAAGTCTAGGCAACTCACATACTTGGTTGAGTTGAGTTGAGTCATCCTCTCATGGGCATTGACAAAATCACCATCAGTCAATTGCAAAAGGCAGCTTTACCTGGAACAGCTTACATCCTGCTACAATGCCTTTTACTGCCATCAAACAACATCTGCCAATCCCAGGTTCTTGGGAAGGACTCAGTGGGTGAATAAAAATGCCAAATCAATCTAAACCTATGCTAACTCTGCATTGATCCATAATAATTTATTACATTTCTATGCTGTCCAACTCCTATGACTCAGGAACGTCTTTCTCTTTGTAGTGTAAATGAACCTCTATGAAGTAATTGAACTATCATGGAGCTATCATACCATATCTCCTTGCAGCCTTAAGAGAGCAGCACAGGGTTTTTCAAGCAACGAGAGGCCTTTTTTGTATCTCTTTGCTGCCATCTAGTGGTCGTGTGGGTGTACTTTTTGTCTATATAAAATTACATCACAAAAGACGTTTTGAAATGTCATTAAGCATTCATACAGCATGCCAAGCCATAGTTGTAACAATGATTTATTGAATGAACCTCCCTAGGTCACATAGTAGACTAATTCATAAACCGTAGTTTGCAAATCAGAATTACTAGGTTGCCCAAGTGAGATACAGCTTGCATCCGCTGGCCTTGAACAAATCATTATTTTGAGCAGAGGGGGGGGGGGATTGGAGAAACAAATTTTATGAATCCTCCTGTGAGATCTAATGAGTAAGAATAAATAGCTTCAAATTATATTACAGTTTACCATATAGTATAAATCCTGGATTTATCTGACAGTATAGTCCTATCTTTTAATGGGTCATTACATTTCTCAAGCCCGAAAATTTCTGCCAACATACCATACTGGGAAGCCTGCATTGGATGTACCCAGCAGTGGAAGGCTTCTAAAAGAAAGCCTGTTACATTAGGCCAGTGTTTCTCAACCTTGCCAACTTTAAGAAGTGTGGACATGCTGGCTGAGGAATTCTGGGAACTGAAGTCCACACATCTTAAAGTTGTTGAAGTTGAGAAACACTGCAGCAGCCACTTCCCATTGCGCTGAGGTACTTCGGGAAGGCCACATTGTTCAGCTAAGCTTTTAATACTTAGGGCTCTGAGGTCCATGCAGCCAGCTAAATTCAGTTGAACTAAACCTGTCTGTCATGGTCATACAAATGCTGTATGCAAAAAAAAAACCATTTTATGGCTCAGAGGAGGAGCACAGAATTTGCCTTGGGTCAAGGGCTATACTTCAACAATGGAACAAGCAGGGAGAAAAAAAAGTAAAATGGGTATCTTAAGCAGCTGCATCTCTTAAAAGATACCCTGTTGATCCTTAAGCTTCTCCAATGCAAAAAAAAAAAAAAATGAAATTACTGGCCTTTCGATAATGGCTCCCAGCTATACTTTTGTAACCTGGATGAAGGCAGTTTAGCACCTGCATCCTTGGGAGAGCCCCCCCCCCCAAAAAAAGGATGGCAGGTGAGTGGGCAGATGACCAGATGCACATGGCAACATCAGACCAATGTTGTGACTTGTGTTCATGTGTC